TGTCTCAGTCTCTGTGAAAAGAATGGGAGGAAAGTCTATATTTGAATTGTCTCTGTTTGTATAAAGAAATGCTGGAGAAAACATGGTAGAAACTAAAAACTGGGCTTCAGAAGACAGAGAAGGTCATGGGAACGAAAGCAAACAAATAGGGGGAGTAACGTTTTTCACAATACACTGGTTTGTGTTTTGAAGTTGTGAGCCATATTACCTGTTCATAAAAGTAAATGAAAAACTGTGGGTAATTATCATATAAGAAGAGGTCATTATAACCAAAACCAAAATTATACCCTGAGTACCACAATCACACCCTAGGATAAAAGATGTGTTTTAAATTTTATGTTGACACTTGGGTGTGTACTATTCTTTCTCTAAGGCTCTCTCTCCCCCTCTCTCTGCCCATGCTTAAATCTATATTAAAACATTTTCTCAATAAACTCCAACTTTTCTTCAAGTAAACAAAGGAAAAATTTGTCTTGGCAAGATGCACATTTATGCATAAGATTTCAAAAACATTTCAAAATAAATTGTCATAGAATACTAAATAAATCTAAATTGTCAAACTAGAGAATTTATGTGCATCTTATTTTTGAGTTTTGTTTGTTTTGAGATAGGGTGTCACAATGTAACCCAGGGTAGCCTTTAATGTGTGCTAAAGGCTAAGGTCTCCTGAGTCCTGGGATCACAGGTAAGAACCGCCACTTTAGTGGACATTTTAATTTATTTTTGTGTTCTGTTATTATAGAAAATGTACAGGGTTTCCATGTCTACTTGAAATAAAAAAGGAAGGAAGGGAAGAAGGGAGGGAGGGAGGGATGGAGGGAGGGAGGGATGGAGGGAAGGAAGGACTATTAGAAACCCCACAAGCATCTGGAGCCCAGGATATTAAATTATTTGAAAAGCTACTATGTACAAAACCCAGGCATCTTTCTGAGCAGCTGCAGGACCAATCTAGAAGCATCTCAGACTCCAATTCCAACAAAAACTCTGACCAGGAACTGAGTAGGTATCCAAAGCCAGCTGGACAGTATTTCTTTTGGTTTGTTTTAGTTTTTTGGTTGGTTGGATGGTTGGCTGGTTGGTTGGGTGGGTGGTTGGATGGTTGGTTGGTTGGTTAGATGATTGGTTAGCTGGTTGGTTGGATGGCTGGTTGGTTGATTGGTTGGTTGGTTGGTTGGTTGGATGGTTGGAAGGTTAGATGATTACTTGGTTGTTTGGTTGAATGGCTGGTTGGTTGTTTGGTTGAATAGTTGAATGGTTGTCTGTTTGTTTGTTTGTTTATTTGGTTGGTTGGTTGGATGGTTGGATGGTCGTTTGGTTGTTTGGTTGAATGGTTGGATGGTTGGTTGGTAGGTTGGTAGGTTGGTTGGTTGGTTGGTTGGTTGGTTGGATGGTTGAATGGTTGGATGGTTGGTTGGTTGGTAGGTGGTTTTGTTGAATGGTTGGATGGTTGGTTGGTAGATTGGTTTGTTGGTTGTTTGGTTGGATAGTTGGATGGTTGGTTGGTAGGTTGGTTGGTTGGATAGTTGGATGGTTGGTTGGTTGGTTAGTTAAGACAAGGTCTCCCTATGGAATGCTGACTGTGCTAGAACTCACTCTATGGACCAGGCTGGCCTTGAACTCACAGAGAGCTGCCTGCCTCTACTTCCCAAGTGCTAGTACTACAAGTGTGCACCACCACACCCAGCAAGGTAGGCTTTCTTAAGTTAGACATCCTTTGTGCCCTTTTCAGATACATAACTCCTGTGGAGGATGAGCAGATCTCTTCTGAGGCTGACCCACTTCACCTGGTTGCCCATTACCTATTTCCCACCAGGTTGCTGTGCTTAGAAGACACTGGTGATTAGTCTTGCCCCTCTAAGCAATAATGACAAACTAATGAGAACGCCCCAAGCACTTGGTCAGGGTTGGATGCCTCATTTCCATGGCAACACAGTAGGGATTTGAGGACCTGGGTGTGAGCATAGAGGCTGCCTGGGGGGGGGGTCAGCTGAGACTGTGGGCACTCCACTCCTATCCTGCTTACCCCAGTTTCTCTCGGGCCACAGGCTCTCCTTTGTCCAATTCATATGCTGGAATGTTTATCCTCCGTGTTCCAACTGATATTCTCCAGGCGAAGCAGAGGAGACTTTCACAAACACAGTGAAAGTTGGTGTGTGCCCCGGTGTGTGGAAGCCTCAGTAGCTTAGGCTCACACACATCTCTGCCTTGTCCCTGTTGGTCTCCCTGACTTCATCGGCCCCTCATTTCCACTACTCCAGTCACACTGGTCATGCTGGCTTCCTTTCTCCTTTTGTTTCCCCAAACCCCATCTTTTTTTTGTTCTGTTCCAGGCCTACTTTTGACAGTGTTCTCAGCTTTCCACTGGGAAGCTACCTGTACCTTATTCCACAAAGGACAGGTGCTTCTCTCTGGCCAGGCACACTGCATGGCATGTCAGACCCAAGCTGATGCAGAATAGGCAGGCAAGAAGCCCCTCCAGATCTCACCAAGTTTGTCTGCTCTCCTCTCTGTGGGTGCCCCTTATGGCTTCAGGCACAAAAGAGACTAATGCTGAGAAGCTGAAAACAATCACAGTACGTACGTGCATGCGTGCGTGCGTGCGTGCATGTGTGTGTGTGTGTTTTGAGGGTATACCGGAGTGGATACTTATGTCACCTCAAATTCATATGCTAAAATGCTTACCTTCCGTTTGGCTGTGTAAGAGGTGAGGCCTTTAGGCGATGAGGCTATGAGGTAGGAGCCTCTGGAACTGGAACTTGCCCTCCTGATAGTTCCTGTAGAGCTACCACATATGATACCACCCATAAGCAAGAAAATGGTTTGATCTGGTATTGCTCAGTCTCTAGAAGGTGAGGAGGAGGCTTTTACTGTTTACAGGATACCCCGTTCATGGTTCTTTCCCAACAAGACAAACCAGCTACGGGCTGAACCCGTGACTCGGAAGGCAAAGATAAGCAGATCTCTGTGAGTTTAGGGCTAATCTGGTCTAGCTCACGTAGTGAGCTCCAGGGCAGCCAGGGAGACCCCATCTCAAGAAAACAAAGCAAACAAACAAACCAAACAACAACACAAAACCACCACCACCGACAGCAACGGCAACACATTAACCCAAACAGACAGAGTACTTTAGATAGGCCCGCAGAAACTGCTTCTGTGTCCTGGACGCTTATCATGGGCTTCAAGCCCTGCTTCTGTCTCAGCTCTGTCTGAAGAAGCCTGCCCAGACAAAACCTCTTTATCTGCTGTTGTCACTGTAAGCCTCAAGTCTTAGGGCCGGGGCAGAGAAGGGCAGGCAAGCACCATCTATTGAAGAACAGCAGAAACATAAACTGACCTCACTCATCAGCACCAACACTCGTTCAAAGCTTCTCACCCAAACACCCTATGAAGTAAGGAACATGAGGGTGACACGTCCTGTATAGATGAGAAAGTCAGTGTCGAGGAAGGGCAGATGCCTTGCACACTACCCCAGTTCTCAGGTCCTGTTTCTGACTTGCTTTTCTTTATTTTTCTGCACCAAGCCTGGTGTTCTTTCTGTCTGTGCTTCCTCTTCGCTGCATGTGTGTGAGCACGTGAATGCGTGTGTGTGCGTGTGTGTGTGTGTGTGTGTGTCTGTGTGTCTGTGTGTCTGTGTGAATGCCCACACATGTTGGGGTGGGGGGCTCACCTGTGTATGCTCATGTGGAGGTCAGAGGTCATCAGGTGTCTCCCTCTGTCACTCTCCTCCTCATTTTAAAGACTGGATCTCTCAGTTAACTTGAAGATTGTCACTCCGCTAGACAGTACAGCCAGCGAGCCCCCATGTTCTGCCAGTCTCGGCCGACCCCATTGGCTGGGATTACAGACACACCCTGCCATGCTCAGATTTTACATGGGTGCTGGGGATCAGAGCTCAGACCCTAGTGCTTGCTCAGCAAACTTTACCTGCTGAGCATCTCCTCAGTCATCTTTAGTGGGTCTTTTTTTTTAATTATTTTTTTTTAATTTTATTTTATGCACAGGAGTGTTTTGCTTTTATGTATGTCTATTCACCACACGCACGCAATGTCCCCAGAAGCCGGAGAAAATGTTACTTTCACTGCGACTTTATCAATGGTTATGAGCCAGCATGTGGGTGCTAGCAACTGAACTGGGTCCTTTCCAAGAGCCGCCAGTGCTCTTAACACTGAGCCTTCTCTCCAGCCCTCTTTACTGGGTCTTAGGAAGAAACACAAATGACAGTTTTAATAGGATCACAGTAGGAACGCTTTCATCTTCTTAGAGGATCTGAAGATCCTATAGTAACACAGTCTGGCCATAGGAGAAAAACATTTTGGAATGCTTAAATCCCAGAACTTCAGTGTTCATCAGCTAATCCCTCAGACCCAGGTTCTTGCACTTCTTTCTTTGTCTCCTGTGTCCTCTCTCCCACGCTTGACCTTTCACTGCCCACCTGGATGCCCAGAGTGACCAGGATAGAAGTCACAGAAGCAGGGGAAAACTGGCACAGCCACCCTGGATGTCAGTAATTCCAGCATCTACTGTGGCAAGGCCCAACAGTCTAGGGCTCTGGAGGAGGGAACAGGAAAAGCTGGGGTGGAGGCAGAGCTTGGCACAACAGAGGTGGCCCACAGGGGGGAAGGTAGAGAGATACAGACCCTGAAGAGCTGGGGTGGGGGCTCCTGTGTCCACTGTCGCTGCCTCCTCTGCTACTGCAGAAGTAGTGGTCAAGTCCCAGCTTGCCAGGGTCTAGCAACGTGAGCTCTGCACTGCTCAGAAGGGATCACCCACTCACTGTCTGGGAACCTGTAGTGAGTAAGCCTGGCCATGTTTCTCTAGCACTCCACGCAGCGGTCAAAGTTCAGAATGGAGTCCAAAGGCTGGGGCTCGCACAGAGCACACGTGTCCTTACACACCTGGCTTGTGAAGAACGCTTCTCCCTCCCAAGCAGCATCTGACCTTGAACAGGAAACTCATTAGAAAGAAACAGAGTTGTCACATCCAGAGCAAGGTAGTAGGAGTTCAGATGACCAAAAATCTTTATTTCAGTCCGATAGTGGGAGGACCGACCTGAGAATATTTAAATGGCAGTTTAAATATTCGGTGGTTTTCAGATGCCTGGAAGGCAGCATAGCAAGCTGTCTGGTGAGCCCTGGGCACTTCCTGTAACGTCTCCGTTTCTAGGGCTTGCACAGACTCTTGCAGCTTCCAGGCATATGGAAGAGACGCGTGAAGCGCTCTGTCCACGGCGACTGTTTGGGTTGTAACAGTGCCCACGGCAGATCTCCTGCCAAGCCTTACCCGGGTTTCTACACCCACCCACCAGGCACATGGAGACTTGGCTAGAAACAGCTCCCCGGGAGCCCACTTGGCCCAGTAGGGCTTCACACCAAAGGTGCTAAGGACTAGGATTCTTCCGCAGCTGGGCTAAGCAGCCTCCCTAATGACACAGGCAGTGATACGCAAGCACATGGGTGCAGCCCTGGTTGAATTCTTGAGGACTGACGGAGGCCTACCTAATGCCCAGCAGAAGTTGCTTTCCAGGAAGTCCCGATCCCAGGGCTAGAAATAAGGTTCAGAAGTTGGGAACATGATGCACTGTTCTTCCAGAGGACCCCAGCTGAATTCAAAGTTCACGACCACCTGCAGCTCCAGCTCCAAGGGATCCAACACTCTTCTGGCTTCCATCGCCACCTGCATTCATGTATACAGATGCCACACCTACGCACAGTTAAACATAAAATAAAATATTCTTGAAAGAAATCCCCTGTATCAATTTCCAACATGTATGGAGAAGGGGAGCATGAGGGTCCAGGTCTCCCTGAAGTCCTTTAGCCCTATGGCAATGGTTGTGGGAGGGGCCATATTTCTCAGTAGTGTAGTCACACACACACACACACACACACACACACACACACACACACACACCATGAAGTAGGAAAGAGGTCATTGGGAAGAAGAAATGGTTTGGTCAGAAGGCAAAGGCTTATTAGTGAGGATAACAGGGAACTATAAGAAAGTATACTACATATATCTCTATGGATAGATAAAAAATTATGAAAGTAAATATTTTTTAAAAAGAAATAACAAGTCATTCGCTATTTAACACCAGTGAGCATACGGTATAACTAGGATAAAAAAATAACTCAAGTACATTACCTCTGCATCTCCTTTACTTTTCATACAAAGGGAAGAATGAAGTGAAGAGGGTGCAGAGGTGAGGAAGAATAGGAAGAAGTGTAAGGGGAAGATAGATTCTCCCAAGACAGGCTAGGGAGCTCCTAGGTGCGTTGTTGAGCAGCTGTCCTTTCTCCCTGGGGGCACCCAGGCTAGTGGGCAGAGTCAGGTGCCCAGACCTTCTAACCTGTAGGGAAACTCTGCCTGTATGAGAGTGCCCTCCTCTCTGCAGTTCAGAACAGGCATCACGAGAAGCGTGGCATCCCTCGGTGAGAAGGGCATGTGGGTTACCGTCCTTTCTCCCACGTGATGTAGCAGGGGAAGATTCCTAAGCCCTAAGCTTCTTCCTTCACAGCACCTCTAAGAAAAGAGGGAGCTTCTCACAACCCAAGAGGAGGATGAGGACCTAGAATAAAGACAGAGGAAGAGACTGGGAACCAATTAAACACAAAGTTCGGTGCTTTGAAGGGTGCTACCATAGTAGGTAATTTCCATCCTCTTGGGCCCCAAATTCTGCACCCCTATATTTAGGGAGCCCTCCTTTTAGAAGGCAGACTTTTCTTCACAGTGCAAACTGAAATCCCACAGGCTCAAGTTTCCACTTTCTTTGTAGGAAGATGTGGACTCAGGGCTCCACCAGTCAGATAAAGTCACACAGTGTTTGAATTAGAAGTTGGTGTCATGAAGCCCTCTGTAAAACCCCCTCATCAGAGCCAGTGAGATGGCTCTGTGGGTAAAGACACTGGCTACCCACACAGTGAGAGTCCCATTGGATCTCGAAGGAATAAAGCAAAAACAAACAAACAAATGAGCAGGGAACCAGAGATCATCTTCTAGGGTGTGCACATGGGACCCAGGCACACACTCCACACTTAAAAATAAATAGACCCAGGTATCAGGGATGAGGGAGATTGCCGTGTCACTGTACGAAGTCAAGAACATGGACAACTGGATTTTCTTTAGTGTTAGTATTTTTGTATTTGTTATTGCTTTATATTATGTGTATTAGTGCTTTGCTTGCCTGTGTATAGGAGCACTTCTCTCAGAGTCCAGAAGAGGGTGTTGGATCCCCTGGAACTGGAGTCACAACAGAAGTGGGAGCTTCAAGGTGGATGTTGAGGATTAAGCCAAGGTCTTCAAGAAGAGAAGTCAATGCTCTTAACCACTGAGCCATCTCTCCAACCACTTTTTTAAATTTTTAAAAAGATTTCCCTTTATTTTTATTCGTGTGTGTGTGTGTGTGTGTGTGTGTGCGCGCGCGCGTGCGCGCAGGTATCTGAGAAGAGCAGAAGAAGGTGTCCGATCCCCTGGAGCTGGAGTTACAGGTGGCTGTGAGTCTCCAGATGGAGATTCTGGGAACTGAACTTGGAACCTTTGGAAGAGCAGTACATGCCCTGAACCTCTGAGCCATCTCTCCAGCCCCAAGTTATACACATGGTGCATACCGGCCCTTGTAAATGCCAGGAAGATGCAGCATGTTCATAGTGGGTGCTCCTAAGAAAAAAGTCTTTTTCTTTGATTTTTTTAAAAACCATATTTATGTATTATTTTCAAATGTTTTGAAATTTTAAAATAAGAAAGCAATATATTATTCTACAATATAATAATGTCTACTTAAAAGGAAAAATAAATATGCATTCTAGAAAGGAAGACGGGCCTCTAAGGGGCAGACGGTAAGGAATTTGTGGACTTTTAAAGTATATTGAGCCTCTAAACCAATTTGTGGAACTGAACAGGAGTGTATATACATTCACTTTTATTTTTCAGTGAGAATATCTTTATGTTACTTTATATTATGTGTGCGGCAAGTTTTCTAACATGTTACACAAGCAGCAGAAGGGCAGCTCTACTCTTCATTAGGCCTAAGACAAGACCCAGAGAGGGCAAGAAGAAGCTAAGCATTCTGAAGGAGTAGGGAGGCAAAAGTCTGGCTTGTCGCATCTGTAGATCTCCAGTGGCTCCAAAAGTCACTGCTGGTGGGCTGAAAAGACCCTGTCTGCAGCTTAAAAATGAGTCACTAAAAATTATGGCATGCTTATGCAACGAAATATTACTCAGCAATAAAAAGAGAATTATTACAGATATCCATAGCAGCATATAAAATCTCACAGACATTTTGTTAAAGGCCTAGGCACAACCGTCCAATCTAATTGCCATGAAACTCTAGAAAGGGCCAAACCATGACAACAGAAAGCAAGAGCAGGGGAAGTTGGCTGCAAAGGAGTAAGAGGGAACGTGGAAGGTGACCGATCTTGAACTTTACCAGTAAAATGTATTTAACTTTATTATGATGATGTTTACCTTGGTCTTCACGTTTATTAAATCTTGTCGTATACTGAAACTGGGTGCATTTTATTGCATGTGAAGTGTATGGCTTCCAGAGTGCTGTACCCTTAGGATTTCATCATCCAGAGGGTACCTCCATCTTCCTTCGGCCCTCAGACAGGCAGCAGCTGGGGTCCCTTTTAGCCCCTTTTCATCTTTTCCAGGTGAATAAAGGCACAATTTCTGATTCTCTGCTCATTGAAGAAAATTAGGCATTCCTTGCTAACCGTGTGTGGTCTCCTCCCCACTTTTAATGACAAGGTCTCACTTTGCAGCCCAGCTGGTCCCAACTCTGGGTCCTCCCAGGTGCTAGGATTACAGGCATGCCCCACCAGCTGACTGACTGCCCATTCTTTCATTTCTTCTTTTTTCCCCTCTTTTTATTTCTTTCCTTTTTCATCTCCCCTCCCCAACCCCACCAAGGGGTTTTGCATGCCACCTTGCCTGATCTGACCTCACTATAAAACTCAAGCTGACCTTGAACTTTCAGCCCTCCATCCACCTTTGCCTTCCAAGTCTTGTCAGTGTGCCACCAGGCCTGGGCTCTATGTTTCTTTTCTTTTCTTTTCTTTTCTTTTTTCTTTTCTTTCTTTCTTTCTTTCTTTCTTTCTTTCTTTCTTTTTTTGTTTGTTTTTTATGTAACATTCCTTGTGATGCATTTCCTTTGCCTGTTTTTATCATGCTCTTTTTTATTTTTTTAGTTGTTTCTAAAGGTTCTTTGCATATTGAGTATATTAACCCTTTGCTCCTGAGTTACAGCTCCTGTATATGGTTTGATTAGTGGTCTTGCATGAAAGTAGGTTATAATAATACTATTACTAATATTATACTGTACTAATATTGTTTTCATTGTTTCCACTCTGTATGCTTGTAAAAGTCCTTATCACAAGGATAAAATGTGTTTCTTCGAGACCTTATTAGAGATGGCGAAAGAGTCCACTGACTAATTTTTTTCAAAATTTTACTTCAAATTGTCCTTAGGAAGGGAAGCCAGCCCCAGCTAAGAAACACTGGCCTACGATTTGCCCACTTCCCTACATAGCAAACTCTCATATGCAATAGCATTAGGTCCATTTCTTCGTTTTCTACTCTATTCCAATAAGATGATGCCTGTTCTTGGGCTGGCAGTCATCAACTATTTTCAGTACTGCAGTTTTATATTCATTTTAAAATCATTTCTCGTTCTCCAAGACTCTTTTTTTTTTCTTTTAATCCTCCCCAAAAGATAATCCTATTGAACAATCAGGCATTACTGAAGCAAGAGAGACCCTGGCACAATCTGCGGGACGGGATCGCCAGAACACCTTAACATCAAGGCAGTGTGACTGGGGTGAGGCCCGCAGGCCCACAGCTGCCTGGGGCTGATAGGTGAAAAGGCGCCAGATAGGGCTCAGGAGTGTACCTCCGGCTCATCGGATCAGCGGTAGGACCCAGAGGGAAGGAGCTACAGAAACCAAAACCAGGGGGAGGCAACAGAGTTTGGACCTGCGGGTACTGAGTTGGGATGAGGAAGGATGGAGGCAGGACGCGGTGCCTGTTCACAGGGTAGATATACTTCTGCTGCCCCCACCCACAGGTGTGCTGATTACAGGGGGTTAACCATGGGGAGCCTGGAGTAGGTAAGGGAATCCTATCTGCCTGGCTGACGCCTGGATCACACACACCAGCACTCTCCTCTCTCTCTCTCTCTCTCTCTCTCTCTCTCTCTCTCTCTCTCTTTCTCTCTCTCTCTCTCTCTCTCTCTCTCTCTCTCTCTCTCTCTCTCTCACACACACACACACACACACACACACACTCTCAGGGCAGGGAACTGAAGCCTCTCTCACCTCTAAGAAAGGTCCTGCCTCTACCAGGAGATGCCAAGATGAGCCAGCCAGCCAGGGCTGCCTATCCAGAAGCCCCAAGAGTTGTGCCAGTTCACAGGGCCTGGCCCTGACTGTAGTGCTGTCTCCAAAACGTCAGAGATATTCATCTCTTCCAAACCTCTATAGAGTATGCCTGACACTGGACGGGGTGTGTTTCAGGACTGTCTCAACCGTGAGAAAGCAGCCCAAACTGGCCTGGACCACAAGCGATCTTGAGAAAGGCACAGGAAGTGCAGAGAGGTTTCACACAGCAGTTTACTGATAGGACCAGCTGCTTACCTTGACAAAGGCTTGGACCTCTGCTCCACGGATGGAAACCTGAGGCTGCATGCTTCTCTCTCTCTCTCTCTCTCTCTCTCTCTCTCTCTCTCTCTCTCTCTCTCTCACACACACACACACATACACACACACACACACACACACACACACACACACAATCCCAGCCAAAGTCTCCAAATTCACCCTGAATAGACTGGAGTTTTTCACATGTCTGTTCTGGAATAAGATAGATTTGACCTATCTTGACTAGCTGCAAACTGGACTCAGTTATGTGCCTGACAGAAATCTGCAGATTCTGGGAATGCGGGGGAGGGGGATACTAGGATATTCCCATGTGTGCTCTGCCCAAGTACTGAAGAAAGTCAAAAAGGAAGAAGGCTCAAAAAATACTTGTCTCATTGAAGAAACTCCCTCCAACTTCTTGAGACTGGTGACCTCATCTTCATCACATCCCTAGCATATCTTACCAACCCCAGGATTCAAAAGCCCTACAAGCCCAGAGTAAGGCTAACAGCATGGACATTTGTGTGGCTTCAACACCAGGCAGAGGCAAATTACTGCATGTTCTGGCTTGTCCCTTAACATAAAGCAAAACTCTGTGTGACAAAGGTCATAAAGTAGTATTTTGTCTGAGGAACAATCTGGTGTTATTCCAGTCAAAAATGTCCTCATGACCCCCAACTTGCTGGCTCAGCCTCTGCCCCCCCCCACCCTTACACGCGAGAGTCAAGAAGGCTTACACAGAAAAGAGCAAGGAGGCAACCATCACCTGGTGTCTGCCAATCTAGGGCTCTGCAAAGCAATACCAGGAACAGCCTCCCTATCTCTGCAAACCACGCGTCTTCTACGTCTGCCCGGCAGGCATTTTCTTATCACCCCACCCCATCAGCCCAGTGCCTTCTGCCCCTAAGTTCTGCCCTGTTTAATAGAAAGTTTTGAAAAGTCAAGGGGGAGAGTCTGGGGCAAACCCAAGTTTGGCCTGTGAAGGTTCCTGTGTCTCAAGGATCTCCTGCAGACCACACTGGGAAAGCCCACACGGCATGGCAGCCCAATCAGTAATATTATCACTGTCTTTAGCCGTGTTTGTGAACAGGGCTGTGTTTAGTCTAACACTGTATCTCAGCTCATTTTTGGACACGTTAATTAAGTTGTGAGGGAAAGAGGAGGGAGGCACGTACCAAGGTACCCTGTGTCCGAGGACAATCTGCAGGAGTCAATTCTTTCCTTCTCCTATGTAGGTCCCGGGGACAGTTGCTTATGTCCTTGGCCTTAGCGACAGGCACCTTTAACCCACTGAGTCTTCTAGCCAACCCTATAGTGTTTATATAGGAAGCATTAATAATAATTTAAGACCTCAAGTTTAAATTTGGCTTATTTGTAATTAACAGCCAAAAACAACCCCTTGGGCTTCCTTTTCCTTCTTTTATGTCATACACTTCTTTTTATTGGCTTTAAAGACCCCAAGGCACAGGTCCCACATTTCATGTGGAGAGCCCATTCTCTGCACACACTGGAGCCTGGGGTATCCACTGTGACATCCAGATATCCTGTGGGAAGAACTGTGAAAGCACACACCAAGATGTACTGGAGGTCTCTAACAATTTCTCTACATTTTAAATTTTTTCTTTTTATGATGAGGTCTACTTGGGTGACATGGAGTGCACACGGAGGTCAAAGGACAACTTGCAAGAGTCAGTTCTGTCTTTCTACCATATGGCTCTTGGGATCAAATCTAGGTTGCCAGGTTTGGCTATAGGCCCCATTTCTAAACAACACTTAAACATTCACTCACCTTGGAAGAAGCAATCCAACAGATATCTAAAGCCTGGTTTCTCTCAGACTGGTGTGCCACTTGAATGTCTCTGTGCACTTCCTCCACCCCTGGATGATACGTTCCTCTTGTGCAGGCTGTGACCTCAAACGGCTTTCTCAATTTCTCCAGTGCCTTAATCATCTCCTCAGGAAGGTGTAAGTTCCCAACTGAGTTATTGTGAGCAGTAAATGAGCTAAAGCAAGTGGGGGTCAATTAGTGCCAGTTCTGACTAATTTGTGCCACCCTAATTATCATCTGATTTCCCTTTGGCCAAACTCATCTCAAAAATTATATAACACGGGAAATCTAAGTTGTATTTATCCATCCCATAATTACATCTTTAATTATAAATTAAGTATGCACTTCAAGCAAAGATCAGAACAGAACATAGGAAATGAAGACAGAGGGTTAGAAGTCACAGGTTAGCAATTCACAATGTGCTCTTTATGTAACACAAGCAAAGCAAACTCAAGAGAGCTGGACTAGGTAAACTTCAGCCTTGAAATGCACATATTGTATGGTCTCTGCAAAGAATAAAATTATTTTCGTTTCAACCTCTACCTTAGTAGAACCCTATCACTGCTATATAGCAAAACATAACAGCTAAACCAAGCGTTGTGGAAGATGGGGAATCCAGACACAATTCAGTTTGGCTGACCTTCTCTGCTCCACTGCCAATAAGTAGGCTCTCACCTGGGGCTGGAAGATTAACTTCCAAGATGGCTGACTCCCATGGCAGCAAATGGGAGGTAGCTGAGATATATCACAATGTACCATTTTGGGGAGCAATCTAAAGTTTTTTCTTTTTTGGACAGGGTCTCTCTACATATCCCTAGCTGTCCTGAATTTCACTATGTAGCCTAGGTGGGCCTCGAACTCACAGAGATCTGCCTGCCTCTGCCTTCCAAGTGCTGGGATTAAAGGTATGCACTACTATGCCCTGCAGCCGTCCAAATCCTTTTACATTAATTATCTTTCCCATGGAGGAAGGATCTGAGTGATAAGCAGAATCTCTCAGCGTCTTAAGGCCTGGACCTGGAGATTAGCTACTTCTGACAATGTCCACGCAGCAAAGCAGTTAGGGCGCTTTAGGGAGGAACCGCCCAGGTTCCACAGCTGTGGCAAGAGGGTCAAAGCATCCACGGCCATTTTCCAGCCACCAGTCATCCCTTCCTAACTCCAGTCTTGCACATTGGCGCTATAGACAAGTGTTCCCCACCGTGCCCTGCTGTCTGCTCGCCCTCCGTCTCCGTCCTCTCTCCCTCCTGCGCTCTTATTCCTACATCCCAGTTCTTGGTCCACCCCTCACACCTGCTGGTACTCAGCACTAGCAACAGTCTCCGGAGTTCCTCCATGTTTTCATGACTTCAGGTTAATCAAGAGCCTTGGAATCTAGCAGACCTGGGTCAGATCCAACTTGCTTATTAGTTAATAGGCCTTATTTTATGTCATTTAATATTGGATACTTGGGTCTTCAACTGAAATAAAAAAGATACCTGATAAGATTGTTAAGTTTAGAAAAATAACACGTTTCACCAAAAACTTCAAGTTTGACAATATCAAATATTAGCCAAGGTGCAGTTTGAAAACGTAATGCTCACTAGAGAAGCACCTGGTTTAGTCAATGTCTAAACTAAAACCAAAGACTATAAAATGCACAACTTTACCCTTGGGCAGGAACACCCAAGGAGACCCTTATAAAAAGCTAAGGAATGGTTCTATCCCCTTCCACCACACCCCTAACGGAGTGCTAATAGGATTCCTCCTCCTCCTCCCCCTCCTCCCCCTCCTCCCCCTCCTCCCCCTCCTCCCCGTCTTCCTCTTCTTCTCCCTCTTCTCCCTCTTCTCCGTCTTCTCCCTCCTCTTCTCCCTCCTCTTCTCCCTCCTCTCCCCCCTCTTCCTTCTTCTTCTTCTTCTTCTTCTTCTTCTTCTTCTTCTTCTTCTTCT